TTGTCTTGCATTTCTCTTAATCCCTCTTCATTCTTCCTGAGCCTCTTTTCCTTTTCTTGCTCTTTCTGGGTGTTTTTTTTCTTCTACTTTGTTCTTCAATTCACTGATCCAATCTTCTGCTTCATCGATCCTGCTTTTGATTCCTTGTACTGTGTTCTTCAGTTCAGAAATTGTATTCTTCATTTCCTTTTGGCCCTTGTTGATAGTTCCTATTTCATTTTTCATGTTGATATAGTTTTCAGTGAGTTCATTGTAGCTTCCCTGTAGTTTCTGGTAGCTCATTGTGAGCTCGTTGAGCTTCCTGATAATCATTGCTTTGAACTCAATATCTGATAATTGAGTTGCCTCTATTTCATTTAGCATTCTTTCTGAGGCTTCCTCCTTTCCCTTCATTTGGGGATTGTTTCTTTGTCTTCCCATTGTCCATGAGACTCTTCTTGTTAGGCTCTGCTTCTTAAATTGACCTGTTCTGGCTCCCTGGGTTTATGGTGTGAACTTCTGTGGTAGAATACCTGTGAGATTCAGTCGTGCAGTCTCCTTCAGGTCTCCTGATGTTCGTAGCCTCCACCTACTCTTTTTTTGTGATCATTTGGAGGGGTAAGGCAAAATGGTTTAAGACAGCAAGAGAGTATTCTATGATATTTACAGTAGCAGCCAGTAGAGAAGAGATAGGAGGCCCTTTGGCTATGTATTATGTTAACCATGATCTTCCACCCCACTAGCCACTTTTTAGAAAGGATGGAAAGAAGGTAAGACTCTTGTTGGGGAGGAAAGGATTGTGAGTTGGATCTAGGAAGCAGTGAGGCTGCAGGAGGTCAGATTCTGAGGTAGGGTGAGAGTAAAGAATAGTAAATAGGTGTAGTGTGTGAGAGGATAGAGTTAACCACTACAGTAGTAGAGTTCGGGAAACCGCGAAGTGGGCTGAGATCTGGGGAGGGTGTTGTGTAGTATTTACAATTGTATGGAATAGGTCTTATTTACAGTAATATTAGAGCAACAATCATATGACAGAATCTATGAGATCTATATAACAAGAATAGGGAGTATAGAACCTTGAGTAGTGTACCAATGGAACACAAATGAAGGACAGTAAATTAGCAATACACTATGAATGAGATAACAGGGGAAACCTATCAAACAATATAGTATAACCAGCCAAGCAAAGAAGACTATACAGAAAGAAGAGGAATACCAAAATACTATTAAAATAGAAAAAATGTAAGAATAATGAAAAAAAGATAATACAAATATATAATAACTTGCAGATTCAAAAAAAAAGGAAAAAAAGCAGAAGAAGGAATGAAGAAGCGATAAATTTGGAAAGGAAGGAATAACACCAGAGTGAAAGAAAGAAGCATAAGGAATTGAGAGATATAACAATAATAAGAATTAAAAAATAAAAGTTACTTAAAAAAGATAAAATCAATCAAACAAACAAACAAACAAACAAAAACCCCTCTTGTTGGTTTCTAAGTAGCCAAACCAGTTTTTCTGGTCTTGCTGGCTCCCGCAGACTGAGGGGTGATTGGAATCGCTTTTCTCTCTTCCCAGTCAGAACTGAGCCTCTGGCATACTGTCCCCAGGGCTAGCCATGCATTCTCCCCAGAGCTGGTCTGGTGCCTCTCCACAGGGACCTGGGTATGGGTCTGGGCACTCCTAAACACACTCTCTGGAGCTCACCACCGAGGGCTCCAGGATCCTGCAGAGCACCCACACCTTTTCCAGGTTCACAGTGTGAGCTCTAGGGATCCCAAGGGGCACACACTTTCCCGGAGTTCTCAGCTTGGGCACCAGGGATCCTGTGGAGTGTCTGTGACTTTTCTGTGTTCAGGGCTGTTGGGTCTGGGTCTTCCACAAAACCACACTCTCTCCGGGTTGGGGGTGTGGGTGAATGGCCAGGCTACCCTTGGTCACACAGGCTGGGACTCACACTCTTCCCAGGGCTATGTGTGAGTGCTCACAGCTCCTGTGGGATTGTTTTTCAGTTCTCAATCCTCTCTCTGTGCCTTCAAGCAATGAGGCCTCCCCCAGTGCTGCTCAATCCTTATTTGGCCAGGGAGGGAACGGTTGATCCAGCTCTCTCCCGAGTGCCCCAAGGCAGACTTGGGAGCACCAGGCCTGGGGGCTGCAACCTCCCTGGTCCCTCCGCTGATCCCTGGGCCCTTATTATCCTGAACCAGTCTCTTTACCATCTGGTTTTTCAATGTCCACTATAATTTTTTATCTCCTATTTTCATAGATTTTGTGATATTCTTGGCTTTTTGTTCTGTTCCTCCATAGCTTGGTTAGTTTTTCTCCCATGTGTAGGGGAAAGTGGAATCTGCTCCCTCCTGCCACACTGCCATCTTCCTCTTCCCAGATTATTCTTTAATTCAATTTTCTGGTTATATTTTGCTTGCTGTTTTTTTGTTGATGAGGTGAGGTCATATGGTATTTGTCATTCACCACCTGGCTTATTTCAGTTAGAATAATGCATCTGCCACTTTGTTGATTATTAATTGACCCTAGAGACTTGGATTTATTTCTGGGCTCTCTATTCTGTTCCATTGATTTATATGTCTGTTCTGATGCCAGTACCAGGCTGTTTGGATTACCACAGCCTTGTATGATTTCAGGTATGATGATACCACCAACTTTGTTCTTTCTCAATACTGCTACAGCTATATAGGGTTGTTCATGGGCCCATATAAATTTTGGAAATGTTTGTTCTACATCTGTGAAATAAGTCATTGATATTTTAATAAGGATTAAGTTGAATCTATAAATTGCTTTGCGTAGTATGGACACTTTGATCATGTTAATTCTTCCAATCCATGAACACGGTATATGTGGCAGATACTGGCCAGCAGTATCCATCCCTGCTGTGGATGCTTACCAAAACATGAGAAAAAAATACACAGAGACAACCGGGTCCTGTGGGGAAGGGACAGAACGGCCACTCTCTCTAGTGGAGAGTGCCTCAAGCCCCCGTCTCAGTCGGTTTCTATTAAGAATACATACTCAGTTTGTGGCTTCACAGTCTGCCAGAAAAGATCAAAAGGAATAAGTAACTTTCAAAGGTGCTGACAGAACTCCTGCTGGGATTGTGGGCAAAATTTGGGGTTTTATCACTACAGGACCTAAAAAGCTAGTCTCATTTCCCGCTTGTGCCTTCAAATTCTAATTCAATAGCATCCTCCAGCAAGCAGATCTCACAGGATTTTGCATATTCTATGTCCCAGGCCTCATTACCTTGGGGGTCCACTGAGTCTGGTCTGAGCTGCACCGTCCCTGCTATTTCCACAGGCCTGAGTCGAGCAGAGGAGACAAAGGCAGCCAGGAGACTTGGATTTCTCACATCTAAGAACAAGGACTCAGGCTTTGGCAAAGCCAAGGGGGCAGGGTTGATGTCCATCACCCCTTCATTTCCACAGCCCCGAGTCTCTTCCCTGAGGCCTTCTCCTGATCATGCCTGTCTTAGGAAATTCCCTCCATGGGAAATCTTACCCGTCATTGGCTAACTGATCAAGCATAGGAGGCCAGGCACAGAACAGGCAGCATTCATGCCAAGGAAATACATTTTGCCTCCTAAGTGGCTCCTGGTCCGGAGGTCTCTCACTCAGCCTAAGTCATGGGGGGTTACAGCTTCCTGAGACCAGGCAGGGCAGACCCCAACAGGTATACACTTCCATTTATTTGTGTCTTCCTTAATTTGTTTCTTCCATGCTGTGCAGTTCTATGAGTACAGGTCTTTCACCTCCTTGGTTAACTTTATTCCTAGGTACTTTATTTTTCTTGTTACCATATCAAAGGGGATTTTCTCCTGATTTCTGTTTCCAATATTTGATTATTGGTATACAAAAAGGCCTCTGGTGTATGAATATCACCTTTGTATACCGCTGTTTTGCCAAATTCACATATTAGATGGTGTAGTTTTCAATGGAGTCCATAGGATTTTACATGTACACCATGATGTCATCTGCAAACAATGACAATTTTCCATCCAGCTTTCTAATTTGGATGCCTTTTATTTCTTTTTGTTGTCTGACCACTGTGGCTAGGACTTCCAGTATTATGTTGAATAGAAGTGGTGACAGTGGACATCCTTGTCTTGTTATTGATATTTGTGAGAAAATTTTTAGTTTTTGCACCCGTTGAATAGGATGTTGGATGTAGGTCTTAGATGTGTTTTATGAATTTTCTTGCATGAGTAGATAAAGAAACTAAGATGGCTAAATTAGAGGATACAAGGAATGTAGACATACCAGTAACCTGTTCTGATATGGCATAAATTGAACACTTCTATTAACTATTACTCTATAAGTGTATATCCAAGTTGATGAAGTCATAACACTTTCTCTGTTGGTAATTGAATTATGTACTAAACTGACCTGCTCTCTCAATTGTATACTTCCTAAATTACAGAACACTTTGATGAACATCAAAATACTTGTTGCATAAGGTATAAATGATTCTGTTATCTTGAAGGATATGCTGTTGCATTCTGTTTCACATTTATTCTGTTCAGGTCACAACTTGTTTCTCTGATTGAAGATCCCTTTTCTCCCATCAGGCATGAAGATCACTTTGGTATTTGCACACATTTCTCTTTCAGTTAGAGTCTTTAGAAACATAATTATACTCTTGACATCTTAACTGCATGTTTTGTTAAACCTATCTTCTTATTTGTTCCTTCAATATTTGTAGTGTATTCTATATTTCTGTTTGGTTGATCTTCTTATCCACCCACCCCTTGAAAAGATAAAATGAACAACTAACACCTAGTGTAATCATTTCCAAAGTCAAGCGTGAGGATTCAGCTCCATATTAACCCTGCATGAATGTATAGTTGGCTTTCATATTTTCATTAATTGAGGATATGTCCCTTTGCTTTTTAGATTCTCCTGAAAAAATTTCCTCCTCAAAGGTAATAACTTTTATGTTTTTATATTGAGGTATTGCCAACAGATGATAGGAAATTAATATTACTTATTAATTACCTTGTTTCAAAACTCTTTTAGGTTGCTATTGAAGTGAAAGATCCTCTTTCTAAAAAAGCAGTCGGAACAACTTCAGCACAAACATCCAGGCCAGGTAAATTTTCTACCTGAATTTTACTCTGGAAAGGAGTACATAAAATATTTGACATGCTCATAGTGTTCTTATTCCTAATTTTTTTCTTTTGCAAGTTTAATGGTAGGTTCTAACATAAGTAATGTAGATGCCATTGTTGGGATTCAGGTTTGATGTTTACAGGAAAAAAAACAATATTTCTAAAATGTAAATGTTAAAGAAGATGTTTTTTTAGATACCATAATTTTCCCAGTTTAGAATTCCTATACTATTGGGGATTTCTATGTATTAATTTTTAGACTCTAAGATTTTTCTATAGTTTAAAATGTTTATTTGAATTTGCCTTTTACCTAGGGTAAAATGTAAGTTGCCAATATGTCATGTTTTAAAAGTGTATTTTGTTAATTGTGCTGTTACAATTGTCCCAATTTTATCCCCTTTGCTCCACTCAGCCCAATCTCCCCCATTCCCTTCAGCCATTCTTCCCTGAGTTGAAGCCCGTGGGGCATGAATATCAGTTCTCCAGCTATTTCACTTCCCATACCCTTCTTAACATTCCCTGTCTACTCACTACCTACCAATTTGTACTTGTTAATTCCTGCACCTTTCCTTTCATGCTTCTCCTTCCTCCCAACTGATAACCCTCCAAATGATTTCTATGGCTATGATTCTGTTTCTGTTCTGCTTGTTTGCTCAGTTAGTTTTTCAATGCCTTTGTTGATAGTTGTGAATTTATTACCACTGTGATGTTGATAAATTTTGATCCCATTTTTCTTAAAGTAGCCTTTTTAGCATTTCATAAAATAATGGCTTGGTGATGAGGAACTCCTTTAGCTTAACCTTGTCTGAGAGGCACTGTATCTGCCCTTCCATTCCAAATGACAGCTTTGCTGGGTAATGTAGGTTGTAGGTCCTTGCTTTCCATCACTTTGAATACTTCTTCCCAGTCCCTTCTGGCCTGCAAAGTTTCTTTTGAGACATCAGCTGACATCCTCAAGGCAACTCCTTTATAGGCAACTCTCTGTTATTCTCTTGCTGCTTTTAAGAATCTTGTGTATAGTTAACCTTTGGAATTGTAATTATGATGTACCTTGCTGTGATCCTCTTTGGGTTCATTTTGACAGGGATTCTGTGTGTTTCCTGGACTTGTATGTGTATTCCCTTCACCAAATTGAAAAAGTTTTTTTTCATTATATTTTCAAAGAAGTTTTCAATTCCTCCCTTTTTTTCTTTTCCTTCTGGCAGCCCTATGATTTGGGTGTTGTGAGGTTTGATGTTTTTGCAGAGGCTCCTTAGCCTATCAACGTTGTTTTGGATTTATATCTTTCTTCATGTATATACTTATTTTTTACTGGTGTACAAATACAGTTTTCTCCATTCCCCAACAAGCCTTGCCCTTGATACCCACCCCTCCCTCCCACCCTCAATCCTACTCCCCTTTGGCTTTGTCCATATGCCCTTTACACATATTCTTTCACAACACTTTCCCCTCTTTGTCACATTACGTCCATCCTCTCTCCCCTCCGGTTACTGTCAGTTTGTTTTTAAATTCAGTGACTCCGGTTATGTTTTGCTTAATTGTTTGTTTTGTTAGTTATGTTCCACTTATAGATGAGATCATATGGTATTTGTCTTCCACCACCTGGCTTACTTCACTTAGCATAATGCTATCTGTTTCCATCTGTGTTGTCAAGAAGGGTAGGAGTTCCTTCTTTTTTTCTGCTGGGAGGTAATTTTATTGTGTAAATGTACCACAGTTTGTTGACCCACTCATGTACTGATGGGCACCTAGGCTGCTTCCAGTGCTTGGCTATGGTAAATTGTGGTGCTATGAACATTGGGGTGCACAGATTCTTTTGAATTATTGTTTCCAAATTTTTAGGGTAAAATCCCAACAGTGGAATTGCTCTGTCAAATGGCAATTCCATTTTTAGTTTCTTGAGGAAATTCCATACTGTTTTCCACTGTGCCTTCACAAGTTTGCATTTCTACCAACAGTGCACTAGAGTTCCTTTTTCTACAAAACATCTCTGGCACTTACTCTTTTTGATTGATTTGTGATGGCCACTCTGACCTATGAGAAGTGAATCATATGGTGGATTCAATTTGCATTTCTCTAATGGCTCGTTTTGCTAAGCATACTTTCATGTCTCTGGGCCTTCTGTATGTCATCCTTGGAGAGGTGTCTGTTCAAGTCCTTTGCCCATTTCTTAATTGGATTGTTTTTCTTCCTGGTGTGGAGTTGTGTGAATTCTTTATGTATTTGGGAGACCAAACCATTCTCTGAGGTATCATTGTCAAATATATTTTCCCATAGAGTTGGTTCCCTTTTCATTTTCCTTATGTTTCTTTAGCCATGCAGCCATGCAGAAGCATTTAATTGTGATTAAGTCTCATTTGTCTATTCTCTCCTTTATGACCCTTGGTCTACAGGACATAATGGTGAGAATATTGCTGCAAAGAATATCTGAGGGTTTCCTGCCTATCTTCTCTTCTAGGACCTTTATGGTATCACAACTTATGTTTAAGTCTTTTATCCCCTTTGACTTTATTTCTGTGCATGGTGTAAGTTGGTGGTCAAATTTTATTTTTGTTTGCATGTAAGTGTCAAGATCTTCCAACACCATTTGCCAAAGAGGCTGTTTTTAATTCCATTTTATGCATCTGCCCAGTTTGTTGAATATTAATTGACCATAGAGACTTGAATTTATTTCTGGGCTCTCTACTCTGTTCCATTGATCTATGTGTTTGTTCTTATGCCAGTACCAGACTATTTTGAGTATCATGGCCTTGTAATACAGTTTGCGTTCAGGTATGGTGATCCCACCTACTTTGTTCTTCTTTCTATAAATTACTGCAGCTATTCAGGGTCATGGATGGCTCCATGTAAATTTTTGGAATGTTTCTCCTATATCTGTAAAATGTCATTGATAGTTCAATAGGGAATGTGTTGGATCTATAAATTGCTTTGGGTAGTATGGACATTTTGATGATGTTAATTCTTACAACAATGAACATGCTATATGCTCCCATTGCTATATGTTCATTGCTGGGCTCTCTGTTCTGTTCCACTGATCTATGTGTCTGTTTTCCTGCCGGTAGGACACTGCTTTTTGTACTGTGGCCATGTCACGGAGTTTGCTGTCAGGGATGGTGATCCCACCTACTTTTGCTTCTTTCCCAAAATTGCTGGCAGCTCTCCCTGGTCGTGCATGGTTCCGTGTAAATGTTTGAAATGTTCATTCTCCCTCTGTGAAACGTCATTGGTAGTTGCACAGGGAATGAGTGGAATCTGTGAATTGCTGGGAGACGTATGAACGTTTTGATGATGAGAATTCTTCCCGTCTAGGAAGATGCAGTATACTTCCACTAATTTGTGCCTTTCTTAATTTCTTTCTGCCACGTTGTGTACTTTTCTGAGTACAGGTCTTTCACCTCCTGGGTTAAGTTTCTTCCTGGGTACTTTATTTTCCCGTGGCTATATCCAACGGGTGTTTTTCCCTGGCTCTCACTTCTGATGTTTCATTGGTGGTGTAGAACAATGCCTTTGCTTTCTGCAGAGTGACTTTGAGTGCCACCGTTTTTGCGAAATTCACTTCCTAGGTGGAGTAGTTTTTCAGTGGGCTCTGTAGGATTTTCCATATTCACCATGATGTCATCTGGGAGCAATGACAGTTTCACTTCCAACATTCCAATTTGGAAGTGTCTCCTTTGTGTCTGTTGTCCGATCCCTGAGGCCAGGCCTTCCCGTCCCGCGTTGAAGAAAAGTGGTGGCGGTGGACATCCTTGTCTTACTCTTGGTCTCAGAGAGCAGGCTCCTAGTTTTCACCCCCATTGAGTAAGACGTTGGCTGTAGGTGTTAGAAGTGTTTTACGAACCTGCAGGCATGAGTAGATCAAGACACTAAGATGGCCGAAGTAGATGGTACAAGAAATGTAGGCATACCAGTAGCCTAAATGGGTATGGCAGAGATTGAATATTTCTATTAACCGGTACTCTGGACGTGTGTATCCGAGCTGATGGAGCCGTAACACATTGTCTGTTTATAATGGAATTATGGGTTAAACTGAGCTGCCCTCTCAATTGTGTCCTTCCCAAATTACAGAGCACTTGGATGAACATCTAAATACTTGTTGCCTGAGGTATAGATGGTTCTGGTGTTGTCTCGAAGGATATGCTGTTGCATTCTGTTTCACATTGATTCTCTTCCGGTCATGACGTGTTTCTCTCGTCCAGGATGACGTTTCTCCCGTCAGGCACGAAGATCTATTTGGTATATGCTCACATTGCTCTTTTAGTTAGAATGTTTAGGAACGTAATTATACTCTTGACATCACAGCCACACTGGTTTTGTTAGACCTCTGTTCTTGTTTGTTCCTTCGGTATTCGTAGCGTATTCTGTGTTTCTGTGCAGTTGACCTTCTTATCCATGCACAGCTAAAAAAAAAAAGAAAAAAGGGACAGCTAACACCTACTGTGATAATTTCCAAAGCCGGCCTTGAGCTCTCAGCTCCATACTATCCCTGAGGGAATGTATAGTTGCCTTCCGTATTTTCATATAATTGAGGATATGTCCGTTTGCTTTTCAGATTCTCCCGAGGATATTTCTCCCTCGAAGGTAAGAACTTTTATCTTTTTATACTGAGGTATCACCAACAGATTATAGGAAATGCATATGACTAATTGATCATGTTGTTTCAAAACTCTTTCAGGCTGCGGTGGAAGTGAAAGATCCTCTTCCTAAAAAAGCAGCCGGAAAGATTTCGGTACACAAATCCAGACCAGGTAAATTTTCTACCCGAAATTGAAGTCTGCAAAGGAGTACGTGAAAACATTTGACAAGCTCATGGTGCTCTTATTCCTAATGTCTTTCCTGTGCAAGTTGAATGGTAGGGTTTGACATAAGTAATGTAGATGACATTGTTGGGACTCAGGTTTGATATTCAGAGAAAAAATATCCCACCATTTCTAAGATGTAAACTTTAAATATGATGTTTTTACTTTTGTTTGGATACCGTAAAGTTCCCAGTTTAGAATCCCTACACGATTAGGGATGCCTCCATGTTAAATTTTGGACTCTGAGTTGTTTCTACGGTTTTAACATGTTTACTTGAATTTTCACTTTTACATAGGGAAAAATGTAAGTTGCCAATATGTCTTGTGTTTTAAAAATGTACATTATTGATTATGCCAGTGCAACGGTGCCCATTGTTTCCCCTTTGCTCCCCTCAACCCAGCCTCTGCCATTCCCTTCAGCCCTTCTCCCCTTAGTTGAAGTCCACGGGTCGTGAATACGAGATCTTCGGCTACTTCACTTCCTGTACCGTTCTCAACATTCCCTGTCTACTCAGTGTCTACCAGTTTGTACCTGTTAATTCCTGCACCTTCCCCCCACCCCCACCCCGCCCCATGCTTCCCCTTCCTCCTCCCAACTGATGACCCTCCAAATGATCTCCGTGGCTGTGATTCTGGTTTCCTTCTGCTTGTCTGCTTAGTTGGTGTTTCCATGCCTTTGTTGATAGTTGTGAATGTACTGCCACTGTGATGTTCATAGTGCGGATCCTCTTTTTCGTGATTGAGACCCTTTAGCATTTCACAAAATAATGGCTTGGTGATGGGAAACTCTCTTTAGCTTTATCTGGTCTCAGAGGCACTGTTCCTGCCCTCCCACTCCAAATGATAGCTTTGCTGGGTAGAGCAATGTAGGTCGGAGGTCCCTGCTTTCCATCACTTTGAATACTTCTTCCCAGCCCCTTCTGGCTTGCAAAGTTTCTTTTGAGAAATCGGCTGATGCTTTCAGGGCAATTCCTTTGTAGGCAACTAGAGAGTTGCCTTTGTCCTGCTGTTTTCAAGAGTCTCGTGTACCGTTAACCTTTGGCAGTTTAATTATGATGTGCCTTGCTGTGATCCTCTTTGGGTTCATTTTGACAGGGATTCTGTGTGTTTGCTGCACTTGCATGTGTATTCCCTTCACCAAATTGGGGAAGTTTTCTTTCATTATGTTTCCAAAGAGGTTTTCAATTCCTCCCTTTTTTCCTTCTCCTTCAGGCAGCCCTATGATTTGGGTGTTGGGAGGTTTGAGGGTTTTTCCAGAGGCTCCTCAGCCTATCAATGTGGTTTTGGATTTATTTCCTTCTTCATGTATATACGTAACTTTTTTATCGATGTGTGAATACGGTTTTGTCCGCTCCCCAATAAGCTTTGCCCCGTGCAACCCACCCCTACCTCCCATCCTGAATCCTACCTCCCTGTGGCTTTGTCCAGAGCCCCTGCGCTCGTGTTCTTTCACGAGGCTTTCGCTCCTTTCCCATGTTAAGTCCCTCCCCCCTCCCCTCCGGCAACTGTCATGTCCTTCCTAATTTCAGTGGCTCTGGTTTCATTTTGCTTGCTTGTGTGTGTGTGTGTGTGTGTGTGTGTGTGTGTGTGTGTGTGTAATTGGGTTCCACTTAGAGTGAGATCTCGTGGTGTTTGTCTTCCACCGCCTGGCTTGCTTCACTGACATTCTTGCTCTCTGCTTCCATCCATGTTTTCATGAAGGGTAGGAGCTCCTTCTTTGTTTCTGCTAGGAGGTATTTTTATTGTGTAAATGTACCACAGTCTATTGGTCCACTCATGTACTGCTGGTTATCTCAGTTGCTTCTAGCACTTGGCTATTGTAAATTGTGCTCCTATGAACCTTGGGGTGTACTTGTTCTTTAAATTAGTGATTGTGGATCCTTATGGAAAAATCCCAGCAGTGGAATTGCTCTGTCAAGTGGCAATTCCATTTGTAGTTTCTTGAGAAAATTCCATCATCTTTTCCACTGTAGCTGGACCAGTTTGCAATTCCAAGAATAGTGCACTATGTTTCCTTTTTTTCCACAACCTCATCAGCACTTACTCTTTGTTGATTTGTTCATGATGGCCACTCCGACCGGTGTGAAGTGGAATCATATGGTCGGTTTTATTTTCATCTCTTTTATGGCTCTCTTTACTGAGCGTCCCTTCATATGCCTGTGAGTCATCTGTATGTCCTTCTTGAAGAAGTTTCTATTCAAGTCCTTTTCCCATTTCTTAATTTGATTGTTTGTTTTTCCGGGGTGGATTTGTGTGAGTTTTTTATATATTTAAGAGACCAAACCCTTGTCTGAGGTATCATTTGCAAATATATTTTCCCATGCAGTTGGTTGCCTTTCATTTTGCTAATGTATTCTTTATCCATCCTGAAGCTTTTAATTGTGATGTAGTCCCATTCATCTATTCTCTCCTTTATGACCCTTGGTCTAGGGGACATTGTGTGAGAATATTTCTGTGTAGAATATCTGAGAGTTTCCTGCCTATCTTCTCCTCAAGGAATTTTATGGTATCATGACTTATGTTTATGTCTTTATGCATCCTGAATTTATTTTTGTGTATGGTGTAAGCTGGAGGTTGAGTTTCATGTTTGTTTGCAATTAGCTGTCCAGATTTCCCAAAACCTTTTGCTGAAGAGGCTGTTTTTATTCCCTTTTATGCTTCCGCCCCCTTTATGAAATATTAATTGGCCATACAGACATGGGTTTATTTTCTAGGTGCTCTATTATGTTCCATTGATCTATGTGTCTGTTCTCATGCCAGTACCAGACTGTTTTTGAGTATTGAGTCCTTATAATATGTTTTTTTTTGTCAGGTATGGTGATCCCACCTACTTTGTTCTTCTTTGTCAAAGTTGCTGCCACTATTTGGCATTGCGACTGGTTCCATGTAAATTTTGAAATGTTTGTCCTATTGTTGTGGAAAATCTACCCACATGCGGGGAGATAATGAAGCACAAACTTTATTACTCGAGCAGTGCTCAAGGGAGTCAATTCCCAAATCCTGAGCTGAAAAGGCTGGGTTAGGGGTCCTTTATATATACCAGTTACACAGGCAGAAAGGGAGGGGGACCAGCTGCTGAAAGCAAGCATTCAGAAACAGGGGCAAGGTTAGTGACCTTGAGATAACGTTACCTAGCAACCCCGCTAGCCAGCTCCTTACCTAAAAATAACTTTTGCTTAACTTTTGTCCTGACAAAACTTGAAAGTGTTACAGAGAGCAGTTTCTTTTCCTGCCACACTATATCTTGGAAATGTCATTGGCTGTTCAAAAGGGAATGCGTTGAATCTGGAAATTTCTTTGTGCAGTATGGACATATTGATGAAATTAATTATTCCCATCAATGAATATCCAATATACTTCCATTAATTTGTTCCTTTCTTAATTTCTTTCTGTTCTGTTGTGTAGTTTTCTGAGTATAGGTCTTTCACCTCCTTGGTTAAGTTTATTCCTAGGTACTTTATCTTTTTTATTGCTATGTCAAATGAGTTATTCCCCCTGGCTTTTGTTTCTGAAATTTCATGGTTGGCATACAAAAGTGCCTTTGCTTTCTGAATATGGACTTTGTATGCCTCCGTTTTGTGAAATTCACTTCTTAAATCGAGTAGCTTTTTTGTGGAGTCTATAGGATTTTCCATGTACAACATAATGTTATCTGCAAACAATGACAGTTTCCTTCCAGTGTTCTAATTTGGAAGCCTTTTATTTCTTTTTCTTGTGTGATCACTGTGGCTAGTACTTCCACTATTGTGTAGTGGTGACAGTGGACATACTTGTCTTGTTCATGATCTTCATGAGAAAGATTGTAGGCTTTGTCAGTTGAGTATGATGTTGGCTATAGGTCTTAGGTGTTCTTTTTTTTAATCTGCTTGCATGAGTAGATCCAGAAACTAAGGTGGCTAAAGTAGAGGATAGAAGAAATGTAAGCAGAGTAGTAGCACATGTGCTATGGGATAAGTGGAATATTTCTAATAACTATTACTCTATAAGAGTATATCCAAGCTGATGAAGTCATAACACATTCTCTGTTGACAAATGAATTATGTATTAAACTGACCTCTACTCAAGATCGTGTACTTCCCACATTACAGAACATTTAATGAACATGATAAGTACTTGTTACATAAGGTATAAATGATTCTGATGTTTGCATGAAGGATATACTGTTGCATCCTGTTTCACATTTATTCTTTCCAGGTCATGACTTGTTTCTCTGATTCAAGATCACTTTGCTCCCATCAGGAATTAGGGTCACTTTGGTGTATGCACCCATTTCTCTTTTAATTAGAATCTTTAAAAACATAATTATACTCTTGACATCTCAACTGCATGTTTTGTTAAATCTATATTCTTGTTTTTTCTTTCAGTATTTGTAGTGTGTTCTGTGTCTCAGTTTAATTGGTCTACTTATCAAACCACCCCATGGAAAAAAAATGAACAACTAACATCTAATGTAATCATATCGAAATCCAAGCATGAAGATTCAGCTCCATACTAACTCTGTATGAATGTTAACTTTCATATAACTGAGGATAATTCCTTTTGCTTTGTAGATTCCCCTGAAAGTTTTTCCTCCTCAAAGGTAATAAGTTTTATGTTTTTATATTGAGGGATTAAAAACAAATTAAATGAAATGTATATTATTTACTAATCTTTTTTTCTTTAATCTTATTCAGCATGCCATTAACAGGACAGATTGTGTTCCTCAAAAAGTAGTCGGAACGAATTCTGTTCACACCTCCAGATCAGGTAAATTTGGTACCGGAAATTTAAGTCTGGAAAGCAACACATGAAAATGTTTGAGTGCTCTGATTCTTCTAATCCCTAATTTCTTTCTTTTGCAATTTTAATGGTAGTTTATGAAATAAGTAGTGCAGATCCCACTGTTGGGACTCATGTTTGATGTTTACAGGAAAAAAAAACAAAAATTCTA